TTGTCATCCATGTACTGAATGGACTCAATCCTGATTTCAAAGAAATCAATGCAGCTGTGCGGGCCAGAGACAGTCCGATCTCTTTTGAAGAGTTACATGAAAAGTTGTCTGATCATAAAACTTTTCTTAAACGTAAGACACATAGATCTAAAAATTCTTTTATCACTGTAAATGTCGCTAACAAATCAAGTCAGAACTGGAAAGGCAATACTCAAAATAAGTAAGGGCGGCCCAACAACTCTGGCCATAATCCATACAACTAGAGTCAAAATTCCAACAACAACACCAGGAGGAATCAAAACCCAAAACCCTATAAGGGTTTTTGTTAACTGTGTGATCAGCAAGGTCATATTACCAAACATTGCACTTGCTTCAGGTTTTTCTCATAAACGCCTTCTTAACCATCCTACTAGAATTTTAGTGCACCTCAACGCACTCCCTTTATACCGCCACGTGCTCATTTTGCCGTTCAACTAAACCTTTCCTTTATAAACTGGTTGGTTTATTCTAGAGCATCACATCATATTAGTGCGGATCCTAATAATCTCTCATTGCACTCAGAATATAATGGTTTAGATGACATAATGATTGGAGTGGTACAAGGCTTTAAATCACTCACACTAGTTCTACTACATTACCATCGTATTCTCAATCATTCTTACTGTCTGATGTACTTTGTGTTCCTAACATGAAAAAGAATCTTATTTCAGTTTCTAAGTTTTGTAATTCTAATAGTGTGTCTATTGAATTCTCATCTTCTTCTTTTGTGGTGAAGGATCTTCACACGGGGCACCTCTTATGAAAAAAGCAAATAAAGACGGAGTTTATGGATGGCTATCTCATGTATCACACTCTTTCAAGCCAATTCTTGCATTTGCTAGTGTCAAAGTTCCTTTACATCAGTGGCATAACTGTCTGGGTCATCCATCTACAAAAATCCTTAAACATATTCTCTTCTCAAACCTTACCATTGTCCTCGTCTACTGACTAGCCTTTGCTTAGTCATGTCACAAAGATGTCAAATTGGGAGTGTGGTTTAAGAAGCATTTTTGGTCAAAATTTAAATTTATAAAACCACTACTACTATTACTACTAACGGAGCATAGAGAGTAAGGATCGTCCCAAGAGATTTGAAGGTTGTTCGGATTAGTAGGTCGAATGATCAAAGAGAGTGGTTTGGTTGGTTGAATTAAACTACAATTGCATTAAAATATGCAATGTAAAACAAATTAAAGTAATTAGGGTATAGAGAATGAGAGAGAGGTCTTAGGGCATAGAGTTCACCACTAAGCTCCACCTCTTAAATAACTAGCATTTGTCAATTTAGGGGGATTCAATGTTGTAAAATAAGTGTGTGCTACCAATTAAAACAATAAGCACGGATGACAACAACAAGTATAAATTGTCTACTTAAGCTAATGTGTAGTATAACTTATCAAGTTAAGGCATTAACCATTCAATAAACCAATAATTGGTGTACACATTAATCTAGAAAAATGTACTATTTGCAATTATAAGCATGGACTATCAAATACAAACATGGATTGTCTTCCTATCTAGGTATTGAAAGCAATTATACTACTATTACACTAAGACATATAATTAAACTAATTAAGATAATGGTGAAGAACAATCCATCAAACATAAGCATAGCCCATCAAATTAATCACAAGAGTAGCCAATTAAACCAAAGCATTGACCATCACTAGATTCATAATTTAACCACACATAGACATGTATAAAATCTAGAGAACCTAGTGTACAGACATAATCATCCATTTCATCATACATAGAGATGGAAATAAATTGAAAGATTAATTAGAAGAATTGATCCATACAAATCATTTAAAATTCAAGATCTATATAATCACAAGGTCAATACATTATTTACAGCATGAATCCCCAAAAATAACAAAATACTAGAGTTTAGAAGGCAAGCCTAACGCGATCTCTAGCCCCAATAGGATTATCTAGCCACTCATGGTTATTATCTTACAACCCTCAAGGGCTATCTTCAAATTAAGCTCCATCTTCTTCGTCTTGCTTTGCTCAAGAACCCTAATCTCTAGAGAGAGAAACTAGCCACAAACTATGTAAAAATTGTAACAAAAAGTGGAACCTTATACAATTGGTTCCATTTCATTTAAATACAAGCCCCTTTGTGTAGGCAACAAGTGTGAAAATAGCCATTTCATTGGTCTAATCCCACAGCCGAAAGTTATGTGGAATTCGGGCACACTCAGGAATTAAACAATGCACTACCAGTAGGATTTCGATCGATCGAAAGGGTCTTCAATGGATCGAGAATATCTTCGATCAATCGTAAATGACACGGCATGTTTATCTTTACAATTGGCAACCTTATCTGCTTAGCTGGCGCTGACGTGGCACTTCGATCGATCGCCATAGGCTTCTATTAATCGCCAATTTGGTCAAACGATAAGGTGGCAACCTTATCCCTTTACTGACGTGGCTTCGAAGGATCGCCAACCTTCGATTAATCATGGATGAATCTTCGATTGATCGAGATTGCTCTAGGGCAAATTTTTAAACTTTTTTTAAATTTTTTTCTTGACTCCAAAGAGGGCTTAATAGGTTGTTTTTAGCCCGTTTAAACCTTATTGACCTAAAATAGACAGAAATAAGAATTAAAACTAAAACGAGAAAGTAAGTTAGATGAATGGACTAAAATACCCTAGCTTAGGTGATAAAATGTGCAACATTTGAGCACTTATCACAACCCCAAACTTAGATATCGCTAGTCCCTATCAATGAACTACAAAGCAAAGAAATAAATGAGCAACTAAATAACTATTAACTAGAAAGCAATAAAAGGATATCGCCACTTTCGTAGGGATCATGGATGCATTTAGCATATGCAACAAGCCTTTTAAACCCCTAGGTTACCCCTAGTGGACAAGTGAAGTCTCGTGAGGGTTTCCAGAAATGATACCCACAAACATTAAGCTCTTTCTCACTTAAGAGACACCAATATTCCAAGCAAGCATTAAAAGAAAACTACCTCAAGTATGCCATTTTTCAACCATCTCTAAGCAATTTCCTAAAATTTTAACAATGAGCAAGCAAATATGGTCCTCCATACATTAAGTAAGACGATCATGCAAATCAAAACAACTCTAGCATCCTTTTTGAGTGAACCGGTATCAAATATATTGTTATCTTAACAAATCAATGAAATGGGTACAACCGGTCTCAAGCTAGCACATAAATCTAGTACCAATCATCAAGACAAAGAATGAACCTCTTTATTTCAATTTATTTCCTACATACTCTCTTTTTATTTCTTTTTCACTCTTTTTTATTTATTTATATATATATGGGATCAAAGATAAGAGTATGGTGTAATGTAGTGATCTCTTAAGCTTTCTAGAAAATCCATGTAACGAATGTTAGGTCAATGACTCCCAAACCGGGCGGCTTTAGGGCATTAGGTGTAAAAACACCCCTAAGGTCTTATAAACTCGAATCAACTAGGTTACAAATCAAAACAACTCTCATCAAATTATTTATCTACTTCCACCTTTGGTGAGAAGCACTCACTTATTTGTATTTTGCAAATTTTATTACTATTATTATTATTATTATTATTATTATTATTATTATTATTATTTATTTATTTATTTAACTATTGTGTGGGCCTTCACTTTTCGCACATGAGAGTTTAATACTTAATGAGGCTCGAATCCTGGCTACTCAGTAAAAGGCTTGTTATTAAGCATTTACGGTCATCTTGTCAAGAATGAGAGCTTTCAAAGCAATATTAGCTCAATTGGGATATAACCAAAGCAATAATCAACTAAACATGTACCCTACAAATGAATACTAGTGTGCGCATGTGCAAGTGTAGAACTCTAGAGATGAATCTCAAAACATTCTCATAAATATGATGATGTGGACCACAAAAGCAATCATAAAATCAAACTTTTGAAAAATTTGCCCCAAAATGACATCCCAAAGGCATACAAGGAGTATTGAATTCACAAGTCAAGAAATTTTTAAATTCTAAGTAACATGGCCCTCAAAAGATCAAAATCATAGTTAACATAGATTTCCAATCTCAATCATGTAATCATGCAATTAAAGCTCGAACTTAAGTAGAATGCAACAAAACCATCTTACCCCCAAACTTAAACCGCACATTGTCTTCAATATGCAATGAGAACAATGAAAAAGATGGAAAGAGTATACCGTGGAGGCAAAGCTTATGTGGCCCAGCAACGATCCATGTAAGAAAGGCATCTCCCCCAAACTTGGAATTAGGAATCTATTTAAATAACCACACTAGCAAACTCACATCAAATATCACAATGGGATAAAGAAAGGCAAATCATGCACTCTAAGGTAATATAGCACAAGATGAAATAGAGATATGAGATCAAGTTTTTATGGTTTTTTTAAATTTATTTTTATTTATGAAAACATGCAAAGAAACCTAAATGCAAGATTAAAAAGAGAAAAGAAAAATAAGGAAGCAACCATGCAAGCAAACATTTTAAATACACAAGGAAAAAACTTTATTCTTTTTTTAGAAATGCTGTGATCGATTGAAGATTTTGGCAATCGATTGCCAAATGTCATGAAGGATACCCTGGAAGGTTGATTTTTCTTATGCACAAAACGATCGATCGAAAACTTCAACAATCGATCGAAGGAACTTACGAGCGATTCTCTGGAACATGAAAGTTTCTGAAACACAATGGCGATCAATCAAGAAGGGTCCATGATTGATTGAAAAAGTTCACAATGGATGATACCGAGAGGTGATTACCAGGTAAAACAGGGCTATGTAGACTTTGATTGATCGAAAATGACACAGAAAGTGAAGGAACTGCTCAAAATTGCCCAGGAAACTGCATTGAAGCATGTAAAACTTATAAAAAGTAACACAAGGAAGTAAACAAAAGAATAAATGAGGGAGGGCTAGAGTTTGAACCCTACGAACTAGTCTTTAACGTCTCTAGCAAGACGTTGGGATGCTCTTAATCATCAAGATAGATGGGATCCACCAAGAGGGCATCTTCCACATCTCTTTGAAAAGCTTGTCCTTCAATATAGGGCTTCAATCTTTGACCATTTACTTTAAAAGTTTTCTCATCTTTTAGGCTCTTGATTTCAACCTCCCCATGGGGGGAAACATAAATGATCTTATAAGGGCCTTCCCATTTAGTGCGAAGTTTCCCTAGAAAGAACTTCAGTCTGGAGTTGAAAAGCCATGCTTTTTGGCCGGGCTCAAAGGACTTCTTCATAATATGTTTATCATGAAAAGCGTTAGTCCTTTCCTTATAGATTTTAGCATTATCATAGGTATCATTTTGCAATTCTTCCAACTTATTCAATTGGACAAAATGATTCTCACCGGCCTTATCAAGATCAAGGTTAAGCTTCTTGATTGCCCACATAGCCTTATGTTCTAGCTCAACCAAAAGATGGCAAGGTTTCCTATAAACAAGTCTATAAGGAGATATACCTATTGGAGTCTTATAAGTTGTCTTGTAAGCCTACAAAGCATCATTTAATTTCCTTGACCAATCCTTCTGGGTTAGGTTCACCATTTTTTTAAGAATTTATTTAATTTCTCGGTTTGAAACCCTAACTTGCCCACTTGTTTGAAGATGGTAGGCCGTAGCAACCTTGTGAGTGACGGAGTATTTCAAATAAAGTTGTCTTGAGAATTGATTGCAAAAATGTTTGCCCTTATCACTAATGATTGCCCTTAGCATACCAAAGCGAGTAAAGATGTTTGATTTGACAAATGCAATTACTGCGGAATGGCCATTCGTTTTGGTAGCACAAGCCTCAACCTACTTTGAGACATAATCAAAGGCAATGAGAATATATTGGAAACCATAAGACATGGGGAATGGTCCCATGAAATCAGTGCCCTAAATATCAAAAATTTCTACAACAAGAATATTAGTTAAGGGTATCATGTCTCTATTTGACATTGATCCCATCTTTTGGCACCGCACACACACTTTGCAAAAGTTGTAAGCATCTCTATAGATAGTGGGCCAAAATAACCCACCTTGAAGAACCTTTAAGACGGTCTTCTTGGCACTAAAATGTCCACCACTTGCAAGTGTATGGCAAAACACAAGAACACTAGGAACTTCACTCTTCGGCACACATCTTCTCATTATTTGATCCGAGCAATATTGAAACAAAATGGGATCTTCCCAATAGTATTTTTAGATATTGGCAAAGAATTGGTCTTTTTCTTGTCTTAACCAATTGGTAGGAAGTTTGCCAATTGCAAGGTAATTCATAATATCAGCATACCATGGCAATTTTTCATTGGAGATTTGAAAGAATTGTTCATCCGGAAATGAATCATGAATTGGAGGATTGGAGAAAATTCAACCATTAGCTTTGAGAGGTGGTTAGCAACGACATTGTCGGAGCCATTCTTATCCTTGATTTCAAAATCAAATTATTGGAGGAGTAAAATCTATCTTATTAAGTGAGGTTTGGTTTCCTTTTTAATCAAGAGATACCTAAGAGTAGCATGATCGGAAAACACAATAACCTTCGACCCCAAGAAATATGATCGAAACTTATCAAGGGCATACATTACAACAAACAATTCTTTCTCGGTAGTTGAGTAATTCAATTAGACTCCCGAGAAAGTCTTACTAGCATACTATATGGCGCATGGAAGCTTTCCCACCCTTTTCCCCAAGACGGCACCCATTACATAGTCGGACGAATCACATATAATCTCAAATGGTAATGACCAATTTGGAGGTTGCATGATGGAAGCGGATGACAAAAGATTTTGGAGTTTATGGAAAGCATCTAGGCATGCTTGGTCAAAGACAAATGGTGTCTCCTTGGCAAGAAGATTGCACAAAGGTCTAGCAATTTTGCTAAAGTCTTTGATGAAACGGCGGTAGAAGCCGACATGACCTAGAAAGGAGTGGTCTCTCTCACCGTAGAAGGTGGAGGCAATTCAGAAATAAGTTCAACTTTTACTTTATCAACCTCAATACCCCTTTGTGAAATGACATGGCCTAAAAAAATCCCCTTTTGAACCATGAAATGGCTCTTTTCCTAACGTAGAACAAGGTTAATCTCACGACATCTTTTAAACACAAAAAGAAAGATTTTGAATGCATGAATCAAAAGAAGACCCGAAGACTGAGAAATCATCTATGAAGACTTTTAAATATTTTTCCACCATGTCCTAGAATATCGAGATCATACACCTTTGCAATGTGGTGGGGGCATTGCACAAACCAAATGGCATCCGTCGGTAAGCAAATGTGCCAAAAGGACAAGTGAATGTGGTTTTCTCTTGGTCTAGTGGATCAAGGGCCACTTGATTGTATCCCGAGTAACCATCTAGAAAGTAATAGTATTTTTGCTCGGCCAATCTTTCCAAGATTTGATCAATGAAGGGCAAAAGAAAATCGTCCTTCCTAGTTGTGAAATTGAGCTTACGGTAATCAATGCATACACGCCATGAAGTGGCGGTGTGTTTCGAAATTAGATCACCTTTTGCTTTCTCCATAACCATAATTCCTGTCTTTTTGGGAACTACTTGTGTCGGACTAACCACTTACCATCAAAGATAGGATATATGATCCCTACATCCAAAAGCTTCACTGCCTCCTTTTTAACAACTTCCTTTATATTTTTAGGTTCAATCTCCTTTGGGTATCTCTAAAGGGTTTCTCATTCTCCTCTATAAGAATGCAATGCATACATATGGAAGGGTCAATTCCCTTTAAATTGGCAACACTCCACCCAATAGATTCCTTATTTTCTTTTAACACTTCCAAAAGAGCTTTCTTTTGGTCATCTCTAAGATTTGAAGCAATGATGACCGGAAGAGTTTCATTTGGGCCTAAGAAGGCATACTTGAGATTAGAAGGAAGAGTTTTAAGCTCAAGAGTGGGTGGAGAAATGAGAGATGGAACCGGAAGAGTACTAGAAAGTGGAGGAAGATGATCCTTTATATTTTTCCAAGGTTGGAAGTCCAAGGTAGCAACGGATTCCATCAAAGCATTCACTTTGCTTATGGATCCATCATTGTCAAACCCATAATTTCCATACATTTCTAAGAGATATGATACAAGAGGATCTTCAGAAAGGATAGATGAAAGATTTTCCTCAAGATGGTTCTTTAAGAGCATGGAAGGGATGGACTCCTCTACAACTTCATCCAAAGCATCTATAAGACAATACTCGTCTTCATTGATAGGATGTCAACTTGCATTGAATACATTAAGCTTGACCATCATATTGCCAAAAGCAAGATTGGATCTACAATTAATTGTTGCATTTGCGATGGTAAGGAATGGCCTTCCTAAGATAATTGGAATGTGATTGGTAGGATTAGAAACCGGTTCGGTATCTAGAACAACAAAGTCAATCGGAAAATAGAACTTGTCAACCTTAATGAGAATATCCTCAACCATGCCCCAAGGCTTCTTGGTGGATCTATCGGCCAATTGAAGCACCATTGAAATTGGCTTCAAATCACTCAAACCTAGTTGAACATACACGGAGTAAGGAATCAAATTAACAGTTGCCCCTAAGTCAAGAAGAGCTCTACGAACCTCATGGTTTCTAATCACACAAGAAATGGTCAGAGCATCGGATCTTTGAACTTAAGAGGAGTGTTATGGAGAAGACTAGAGCTCACTTGCTCTGTGAGAAGCACTTTTTTAGGGCTTTGTCCCTTGTTCTTTCTCTTTTGAGTGCATAAGTCTTTTAAGAACTTTGCATATGGTGGAATTTGGCAAATCACATCAAAAAGAGAAAGGTTAATTTTAACTTGCTTGAAAACTTCCATCATATCATGAATTTTTCCCTCTTGTCTCCCAAATGGTGAAGTCTCTCTCAATGCATGAGGAAATGGAGATTTTGGCTTATAAGACTTTTCTAATTGGGGTGATGAGGAAGGAAAAGATGGAGAGTTCTTTTTGGAACCACTTTCATCCAAAGAAGTAGGAATAGGATTGGAAACGGGACAGGGGCAACCACTTGGTTGCACCAGTTCACTACTTTCACTTGGTCTCTCTACCTTATTATCAATTTTTCTACCACTTCTTAAGGTGGTTATAGCTTGCACTTGCTTATGTGGAGGGCATCCTGATGTAGGACTTGCTTCAACCATATAATGTGCCATGGGATTTCTCTCGGGTTGGCTAGGCAGCTGATGAACGCTGAAAAGTGAGTATTTAAACCCCTTAAGCTTAAGTATTCTAGGACCTTTATCTATCTTATTTTCCCATTTTAGACTAATTTCATGTTATTGCCCTTTTCAGGAGCTTATCCCCAAAATAAGTCAATTTAGCCAAATTAGAGCATAAAAGAAGCAATCTCAAGCTAAATGGAAGAAAAGAGCAAAGTGGTGGAAAACAGCAAGTTTTGATTGATCAGACCAATCTTCGATCGATCTTACAGTGATCGATCCAGCCTCACCAAGATGGATCAAACCCCTTATCCTTATTCTCAAGAATTTCCATTTTCGATCGATCCAACTTTTCTTTCGATTGACCGAACTTTTTTGATCTTATCCCCATCGACCACTTTTGTCTTTTTCCCAAAATATCCCAAAAGTATCTCTGACTTGTCCTATTCCAAAAAGGTGTGGCCAAGGTTTGATTGATCTAGCCATACTTTGATCGATCTGGTCATACTTCGATTGATCTCATCAGAATTCGATCGATCAAATCTCCTCAAGTTCGAAATAAAAACAGAGTCAGCTCATTAAAAGATGGCTCGTGGTGCAATAATTGAAAGCGCCCTAATGCACGAAACCTGACCATTGGGTGTGACATTGGAGATACCTATATAAGGGTTTTGAGCTATTTTTACAAAAGAGGAGGATCATATATCATCATACAACAATAGAATTAGAGAGATCTTAGAGATTAGAGACACATATACCATTTGGGAGTTCTTCCATTCATCTAGGGTTTCTATCAAGGAGAAGAAGATCAATCCTACCATAGAGATGGCCCTTGACTATATCAATGAGTGGCTAAACATCTTCTAGGGGCTAGAGTTAGCCCTAAGCATGCCTTCTAGATCTTGATGTTTTATATTTTAAGGACATTTATGTTGTAATTCTTGTCTTGATATTTGATTTATATATGAATCTTGTTTCTATAATGATTTGTGTTGTTTAATACTTTCAATTGATCATTTCATTCTATTCATATGTCTATGTATGCTAGAATAGATGTTTATGTATTTATGTTTGATTTTGTGATATTGATGCATGTCTATGTATGTTGATGCTATGAATCTAAAGATTGTCAAGGCATGGTGCTTTAATGAAATACTCTTGTGGCTTGTTTGATGGTTCATACTCATTTCTTAATGGATTGTGCCTCTGCCTTAGTTTAATTAGTTTAATTTTCATGTCCCTAGTTTAGTTGTAGTGTAG